ACGCATCACACATGGAATGACAGATCACCAAGGAGAATGGACAGGAAATGACACCGGAGGAAGACAGAGACCCAGAGGGAGAAGGACAGACACAAGGAAGGACAGGAATGAGACAGAGGACAGAGGAAGAATGGACAGACAGAGGATCCAGACAGAGACAGAGGAGAATGACTGACACAGGGAGAATGGACAGGAACGAGACAGAGGAACAGACAGACAAGGACAGGAATGAAGGACAGAGGAGAAGGACAGGAAGACAGACACAGGGAGAAGGACAGAGAGGGAGACAGACAGACACAGACAAGGACAAGGAAGGAGGAGACAAAGGAAGAAGGACAGGACAGAGACACACAGGAAGAATGGACAGGAAGGAGACGAGACCGAGACAGACAGACAGAGGGACAGGAATGAGACAGAAGACAGGACAGACATAGAAGGACCCAGTGGTGGAAGGAGACATAGAAGAAAGTGGTATAGTGGACCGGTAGGAAAGAGACAGAAAGAGGCATGACAGACAACGAAGGAGACAGAAGTGGTATGGACCAGAGACGGAGACACAGACAGAGGAGACAGGAAGGAGACGACAGGAAGGAGGACAGAACAGTGGAATGGACTGAGACAGGAAGGATCCCAGGACAGACGTGGAGACAGAGGAACAAGGAGAGGAGGAAGGAGACAGTGACCCAGGACACACCAAGGAAGGAGACAGAGGAGTGGACCCAGTGGAAGGACATAGGAGGAGGAAGGAGACAGACACACAATGGAGGAAATAGGATGAGACAGAGACAAGGAAGGACAGGAATGAGACAGTGACAAGGAGGAAGGAGGACAGGAATGAGGACAGGAGGACAGGTGGAAGGAGGAAGGAAATAACGAGAGGAAGGAGACAGGATAGGAAAATGGACAGGAAGGAGACAGACAGGACACAGGAGAGACAGATGAAGACATCAGGACAGAGAGTGGCAGACAGACCAGGAAGGACAGGAATAGAAGACAGACAGAGTGAGGGAGAAGGACAGGAACGAAGAGGAAGAAAGAGAAGGAAATGGACACACAGAGGAATGGTGACAGACACTGGAGACAGAAGGACAGGAACAGAAGAGATACAGACCCAGGAAGACAAGACAGAAGGAGGACAGAGGAGAGGAGACAAGGAAGACATGAGACAAGGAGAAGGACAGTGGACAGAAGGGAGGAAGACAGGACAGTGGAAGAGACAGGAACAGAGAGAAAGAGAGGACAGAACAGACGGAGACAGAGAAGGACAAGACAGGAAGGATCAGACAGAGAGAAGGAGACAGGAAGGAGAGACACAGGGACAGGAAGGACAGGAGGAGGAGGACAGTGACAGAAAGAGACAAGACGAAGAATGAAGAGGACAGGAAGGAGACAGAGACATGGAAGAAGAGAACAGACAGGAAGAGTGAGAGACAGACAAGAGGAAGAAGAAGACAGAGGAAGAAAGAGACACAGACAGACAGACAGACACAGACAGGAGAGACACAGAAGACAAGAGGACAGGAAGGACAGAGGAAGGACCCCAGGAATGAGACAGAGATGGAAGAAATCAGAGAGACAAGGACAGGAAGGAGAGGACAGACACAGACAGGAAGGACAGAGAAGGACAGACAGAGAAGACAAAAAGAAGGACAGGAAGACAGACTGAGACAGACAAGGAGAAGGACAGGAAGGAAGACAGACAGAGTGTGGAAGAAGGAAGACAAGGAGAGAAGAGGACAAAGGAAGGAAGAACAGAAGACAGAGGAAGAACAGAAGACAGAGGTGGAAGAAGAAGAGGTGGAAGAAAGAGAGGACATAGGGACAAGAAGAGGAAGATAGAGAGGAAGGAATAGAAGGACAGATGGAGGAAGAAGAGAAGGGACTGGAAGGAAGGAAGAAATAGACAGAGGAAGAAGAAAAGGAAGGAGACAGGAGAAGAAGAGACAGGAAGAAGGAAAGAATGAGAAGGAGACAGAGGAAGAAGGACAGGAAGGAAAGACAGAGGAAGAGGATAGAAGGACAGGGGAAGGAAGAGGAAGCAGACAGAGGAAGAAGAGAAGAAGGAAAGATAGAGAAGGAAAGGAAGAATAGACAGGGAAGAAGAGATAGAGAAGGACAGAGGTGGACAGGGAGGAAATAGACAGACAGAAGAAGAGATAGACAGAGGAAGGAGAGAAGAGAATAAGGAAAGACAGAGGGAAGAAGAGAAAGACAGAGGTGATAGAAGGACAGAGGAAGGACAGAGGAGAAAAGAAAGAGGTGGAAGAGAGGGACAGGAAGAAGAAGAGACAGGAAGATAGGGAGAAGAGGACAGGAAGAAATAGGTGGAAGGACAGAGGAAGAAGAGAAGGAGAGACAGAGGTGGAAGAAGAGATGGACAGAGGTGGAGAGAAGAGAAGGAGAGAAGAATGGAAGGAACAGAGAAAGTGGATGGAAGAAGGACAGGAAGGAAGACAGAGGTGGAAGGATAGGAGGATGATGGATGGAAGAAGAGAAGGAGAGAGAGAAAGGAGAAGGAGAGGAAGAAGAAGAAGGACAGAGGAGAGAAGAGGAAGATGGAAGAAGGAAGAGGTGGAAGGAAGAAGAGAAGGGACAGGAAGGAAAGGATAGAGGAAGAAGGATGGGAAGAAAGAGGACCAGAATAGAAAAGAAAGAATCAGAAGGACAGAGGAAGAAGGAGAAGACAGGAGGGAAGAAGAGAGTAGACAGAGGAAGAAGAAGTAGACAGAGGTGGAAGAAGAGAAGTAGACAGGAGGTTGAAGAAGAAGTAGACAGAGGGATAAGAAATGTAGACAGAGGTGGATAGAAATGACAGAGGTGGAAGAAGAAGTGGAAGAGACAGAAGGGAAGAAGTAGACAGGAGGGTGAAGAATAGAAGTAGACAGAGGAAGAAGAAGACAGAGGAAGAAGAGAAGGACAGAGGAAGAAGACTGACTGGGACAGTGGACCAGACCACATGGAGACAGAAGGAAGAACACAGAGAGTGGAGACAGGAGGAAGGAAGACAGGAAGGGACAGAGAAGAGATAGAAGGAAGACAGGGAAGACAGAGGCAGACAGAGGAACAGACACAGGAAGGACAGGGACACAGAAGACAGAAGGACAGGGATAAGACAAGGACAGAAGAAGACAAAGACACAGAGAAGGACAGAAGACACACAGACAGGAAGAAGACAGACAGAGGAAGACAGAGGTGGACAGGAGACAAGGAAGGAGAGGAAGAAGAGGGATCAAGACAGGAGACAGACAGGAATGAGAAGACAGAGGGGAGTGAAGATGTAGACAGAGGAAGAGAATGGACAGACAGAATGAGACAGACAGAGGAAGAAGACAGACAGAGAGGACAGGAAGAGATAGACACAGAGGAAGACAGAGGAAGACAGAGGAAGGAGGACACAGACATGGACAGACAGACAGGAAGACACAGGACAGACAAGACAGAGAGGAGAGGACAGAGACACAAGAAGATGGGACAGACAGACAGAGGACAGACAGAGGACACAGGACAGACAAGAGACAGGAAGAAGGACAGAGGAAGAAGAAGGAAAGACAGGAGGAAGAACAGAAGGAAGACAGAAGACAGAAGGAGGAAGGACAAGGAAATGACAGAGGAAGGAGACAGGAAGACTGGGGACACAGACAGAGGACAGAAGCAGACAGAATGGACAAGGAAGACAGACAGAAGGACAGGAAGGACAGAGCAGACAGAGGAAGAAGAGAAGGAAGGAAGGAGACAAGAAGACAGACAGAGGAAGAAGTAGACAGGAGGACAGAAAGAAGAGAGGAAGGACAGGAAGAACAGAGGAAGACAGAGAAGGACAGAGGAAGAAGACAGACAGAAGAAGAGAAGCAGACAGAGGGAAGAAGAAGACAGAAGAAGACAGAGACAGGACAGAAGACAGAGACAGAAGAAGAAGAAAAAGAGAAGACAGAGGAAGAAGACAAAGACAGAGACAGAAGAAGGAAGAAGACAGAGGAGGAAGAAGGACAGGAAGAAGAGAGAAGAGATAGACAGACAGGAGGAAGACAGACAGAGAAGAAGGAGAGGAGGAAGAAGAGAAGACTGAGACAGAGAGGAAGAAGAGAAGAAGACAGAGGAAGAGAAGGAGGACAGAGGAAGAGAAGGACAGGAAGGACCAGAGACAGAGCAGGAAGGACAGAAGGACAGAGAGACAGAAGGAAGGACAGGAAGACACAAAGACAAAGACAGGAAGAAGAAAGGAAGACAGACAGGAAGAAGACAGGAAGGAGAGACAGACAGAGGTGAAGAAAGAAGGAGAGAGAGGACAGAGAGAGGAAGAAGGAAGGGAAGGAAGACAGAGGTGAAAGAGAAGAGACAGAAGGAAGAAGAGAAGAGACACAGAGGAGAAGGAAGAGAAGGAAGACAGAGGAAGAAGAAGAGACAGAGACAGGGGAAGAGACAGAGAAGAAGACAGACAGGAACAGAGAGATAGACAGAGGAAGAAGACAGAAGGAGAAGAAGAGGAAGAGAGAGACAGGAAGAAGACAGGACAGGAAGAAGAGAAGACAGAGGAAGGACAGGAAGGAGAAGACACAGAGGGCTGGAAGAGAAAGAGGAAGAGAAGAGGAGTGAGACAGAAGAGAAGAGAAGAAGACAGAGGAAGAGGAGAAGGACAGAGGAAGGAGAGACAGACAGAGTGGAAGAGAGAAGGACAGGGAAGGAGAGAAGAGACAGGTAGACAGAGATGGAGAAGGAGAAGGAAGAACAGACAGGAGGAAGAAGAGAGAAAGACAGAGGAAGGACAGGAGACAGAGGAAGGAAGAAGAGACAGAGGACAGAGGAGGAAGAAGAGAGTAGATAGAGGTGGAAGGAAGAAGGTAGACAGAGGGAAGAAGAGAAGGGACAGAGAGGAAGAAGAGAAGAAGACAGGGAAGAGAAGAGAATGGTAGACAGGAGGTGGAAGAAGAGGAAGAAGAGAAGGATGGGGAAAGAATGAGTAGACAGACACAGGAAGAAGAAGAAGACAGGTGGAAGAAGAGATAGACAGGAGGAAGGACAGAGAAGGACTAGATACAGAAGAAAGAAGAAGGACAGAGGTGGAAGAAGAAGTAGACAATGGTGGAAGAAGCAGTGGAGATAGACAGAGGTGGAAGAGACAGAGGAAGACAGGAGGAAGAAGAGTAGTAGACAGAGGTGGAAGAATAGAAGGAAAAGACAGAGGAAGAAGAGGAAGACAGAGGTGGAAGAATAGGAAGGACAGAGGTGGAAGAAGAGACAGTAGGAACAGAGGTCAGGAAGAAGGAGGATAGAAGGAGACAGAGGAAGAAGAGAAAGGACAGAGGGGAAGGAGAGAAATGGACAGAGGAAGAATAGAAGGAAGACAGAGGAAGAAGAGAAGTGGAAGAAGAGAAGGACAGAGGAAGAAGAGATAGACAGGAAGGAGAGAGGGACAGAAAGGACAGAAGAGGAAGAAGACGCAAGAGTAGGAGAGAGTAGAAGAATAGGAAAAGACAGAGGAGTAGATAGAAGGACAGAGGGGAAGAAGCAGACAGAGGAAGAAGAGAGTAGACAGAGGGAAGAAGAGAAGGAAGACAGAGGGGAAGAAGCCCCCAGATGGAAGGAGATAGAAGTAGACAGAGGAAGAATAGAAGCAGACAGAGAGAGAGAAGAGAAGTAGACAGGAGGAGAGAAAGGGGAAATAGACAGGATAGAGGTGAGGACAGGGAAGTAGACAGAGTAGGAAGGAGGGGAAGAATAGACAGAGAGAGGAAGAAGAGAAGTGGACACAGAGGAAGAAGAGAAGGACAGAGGATGGAAGAAAGGAGATAGATAGGAGGAAGAAGACAGAGAAGTAGATAGAGGTGGAAGAGAAGGAGGTGGAAGAATAGAAGGACAGATGGATAAGAATGGAGATAGGTGAAGAAAGAAGGACAGTGAAGAAGATACAGAGGGAAGATTGGGACAGGAATACAGAGAAGGAGGGGAAGATAGATAGAGGAAGAAGGACAGGAAGGACAGGGGTGGAGGAAGAGGAAGGATAGAAGGAAGGGAAGGACAGGAGGGGGAAGGAAATAGGACAGAAGGACAGGTGGAAGGACAGGAATGACACAGGAAGGACAGAGGACAGACACAGACACATGGGACAGATCCACAGAGAGAGACAGAGAAGGGACAAGGAGAGACACAGGAAGACACAGACACATGGACAGACACAAGGAGAATGGACACGAGACAGAGGAAAAGGACAGACAAGGACAAGGACAAGGAGGAAGGACAGAGGAGAATGGACAGGAAGGAGGACACAGGAGAAGGAAGACAGAGACAACTGGAGGAAGAAGGACAGATCCAGGAGGAGAAGGACAAGACAGAGACACAAAGAGGGACAGGAAAGACACAGAGGAGAATGACAGGACAGACAGAGACACCGGAGGAACATGGACAGGAAGACAGATCCCAGAGGAGGAAGGACAAGGAATGAGGACAGAAGGACAGGAATGAGACAGAGACACAGAGATCAACAGGAAGGAGACAGAGACAGAGGAGGAAAGGAGAAGGACAGGAAGGAGACACAGGAGGGAGGAAGGACAAGGACGGACAGGACAAGGAAGGAAGGAAGGACACAGGACAAGGAGATCCAGGAGGATCACAAGGAATGGACAGGAAGGACGGACAAGGACCCGGACACAGAGGAAGGACACAGGACAAGGAAGGAGACACAGACTTGCCCAAGTGAAGAGACACAGACAAGGAAAATGTGGCACAGACGACACACAGCCAGGAGGAAGGACAAGGACGAGGAAGGACAAGGACAGGAGGAGGACAGTATGGAGGATGCGGAGCCGACAGAATGGATGGAAGGGGTGGAGAAGGAAGAGACAAGGACAAGACACAGAGGAGGAAGGACATGGAAGGAGAGACTGAGACACAGGAGAACAAGGAAAGGAAGGAGAGAGACAAGGTGGAAGAAGGACAGGATGGAGGAGATAGTGATGAAGGAAGAATGGACAGGCATGTGGACAGTGGACATGGAGGAAAAGGACAGGAAAGACACAAAGGAAGGACAGGAATAGGTGGAGGAAAGGACAAATGGACAGGAAGGAGAGACAGGAGGACAGAGGAGAAGGAAGGAGAGAAGGAAAAGGAATGGAAGGACAGGAGAATGAGGACAAGGAAGGACAAGGAATGGTGGAGGAGACAGAAAGAAGGAATGAAGGGGACTGATGGAGGGAGAATGGACAGGAGAGGACACAGAGGGACAGGAAAGAGGAGATAGAGGACAGAGGAAAGAAGGAAGGAGAGAGATAGACACAGAAAGGAAAGGACAGGAAGGAGATAGAGGAAGAAGGACAGGAAGGAAAGACAGAGGAGGAAGGACAGGAGATAGACAGGAGTGGAGAAGGGACAGGAAGGAGATAGAGGACACAGAGGAGAATGGACAGGAAGGAGAGGATAGAGATAGAGGAGAAGGAGAAGGAAGGAGAGACAGAGAAGGACAGGGAAGGAGAGATTGAGGACACAGAGGAGAAGGACAGGGAAGGAGAGGACAGAGACAGAGGAAGAAGGGACAGGAAGGAGAGGAGAGACAGGAAGAAGGGAAGGAGATAAGGAGGAAGGGACAGGAGAGATAGACAAAAAAGGAGAAGGGACAGGAAGGAGGACAGAAGGACAGGAAGGAGATAAAGAGGGAGAAGGGACAAGGGGAAGGAGAGATAGAATACAGAGTAGGGAAGAAGGGACAGGGGAAGGAGAGATAGAGATAAAGGATGGGGAGATTAGGGACAGGGGAGGATAGGATAGAGGATACAGAGTAGGGAGAAGGGGACAAGGAGGAAGGAGGAGATAGAGATACAAGAGTGAAGGAGAGGGACAGGGACAGAGGAGGAGATAGAAGTGATGCAAGGAAGGAAGAGAGGGACAGGGAAGGAGATAGGGAACTGAGAGTGGATAGAGAGGGACAGGAAGGAGAGGATAGAGATAGAGAGTGGAGGAGGGAGGGGGAGGAGAGATAGAGGAAGGAGAGTAGGGGAGACAGAGTACAGGAAGGAAGGGACAGGAGAGATAGAGGGTGGGGGAGAGGGACAGGGGAAGGAGAGATAGAGATGCTAGAGTAGGAGGAGAAGAGGGACAGAAGGGAGGAGGATAGAGATACAGAGTAGGGGGAGAGGGACAGGGGAGGAAGGAGATAGAGACTGGAGAGGGGGAGAGAAGGGACAGGGAAGGAGAGATAGAGAGAGGGAAGTAGGACAGGGAAGGAGACAGAGGGAACAGAGGGTAGAGATAGCTGGAGTAGGGAAGAAGGACAGGAAGGAGATGGAGAGATACAAGAGGGGAAGGAGAGGGACAGGGGAAGGAGGAATAGAGATAAGAGGAGAAGGGAAGAGAAGGGACAGGAAAGGGGAGTGGGAGATAGATGTGGAGTAAGAGTGGGGGAGGGACAGGGAAGGACAGGGTGAGAAGGATGGACAGAGGGAAGGAGGGAGGGACAGGAAGGAGAGATAGGGAGGACAAGAGAAGGAGAAGGAAGGAAGAGAGGAGGAGAGATGAGAGTAGGGGAGGACAGGGACAGGGAAGGAGACATAGATAGGATAGGACAGGGAGGGAGGAGGGAGGAGAGATGGATGAGGCCTGAAGGAGTGTAATGAGAAGGACACAGGGAGGGAGGAAGGAGGATAGAGGGATGAAAGAGATAGACAGAGAGAAGGGAGGACGACAGAGGAAGGTCGAGATACAAGAGTAGGGGAGGGGACAGGAGGATAAGGAGAGATAGCTAGGACAAGAATGAAGCTGATTGACAGATTAGGAGATGTGTATTGATCATGAGATATCGACAGAGAAGGCTGATAGACATGGAAGATGGATGAGAGGGAGGAAGGGGACAGGGAGATGGACAGGGACAGGGAAGAAGGAAGGAGGAGGACTGACAGAGGAATGCATCAGGAATGAGATGACAGGAGAATGATCAGACAGAAGACAGGACCAGGAATGAGATGATCCCAGAGGGAGACATGAGACACAGGAGATCATGAGTGGATCAGGAGACGTGGGATGACAGAGGGTGAGATGGCTGATCACAGAGGAGACACACAGAGACAGTGATGACAGCCAAGAGATGTGTAGCTGACGACAGAGGACGACAGAGACACAGAGAAGGACAGAGAAGGAGAGACAGAGACACAGGACCAGACAGAGACACATGGAGACAGAGACACAGGAGACAGCACGACACAGGAGACACAGAACAGAGACAGACACAGACAAGACACAGGAGACACAGACACTGAGACACAGCAGCAGAGTGGTGACACAGAGAAGGACACAGGACAAGAGACAGAGAGACACAGTGGAGGACAGAGACACAGACACAGGCATGGACAGAAGGAGAGAGACAAGGAGAGATGACACACATGGACAGACACAGTGGACAGAGACACAGGAGACACACAGGACATGAGACACAGAAGACACAGAGTGGAGGCAGGACACAAGGACAGACACAGGAGAGACATGGAGGACAGGATGACATGGAGAGAGACACAGGGAGAGGACAGAGACACGGAGAGACATCTGAGAGACACAGTGGAGAGACAGGAGGAGACAAGGACGAGTATAGTGAGTGGACAGAGACATGGAGAGACAAGGAGAAGGACAGGAGAGACATGGAGGGACAGGAAAGACCTGAGGGACACAGGAGAGACATGGGGAGAGAGCATGGAAGAGAGCAGGAGAGAGACGGAGGGACAGGAAGGAGACACAGGAACAGGCACAGACACTGGAGATATGGAAGGTGGTGGAGACGTGGTGAATGGAATCAACACATGTGACGAGAGACCCACAGAGACAGGAAACCCCACCGACGAAGGACAGAAACAATCCCAGAATATCAAGCACTAGAACGAACGCAGTGTGGAAAGACATAAACGGCTGATCACAACACAAAGAAGGTAGATCACCAGACTCAGGGACCATGGACTTACAGAACGGATGAAGGACACCACGGAGACGGAGAGGAAGGAAGGAGTGGAGAGGAAGGAGTGGAGGGAGGGAGCCGAACATGTGGAATGGAACGGAGCCTATGGATGAAGGAATCCCACAGTCCCAGGGAGAGAACAGACATGACAAACAATGATCCCATGACAGAATCCCACCATGACACCCCACATGGAACAAACGGCCCAACCCCAGAGCCGAAACCACACACATGGAAGGAAAGGAAAGAAGGACAGCATGGAGGAACACAGTCTGGTACACAGTGGAAGCATGGGACCAGGACACGAGACCGACCGGACCAGAATGACCACCGACCCAGGATGGACCCGAAGAGACACACAAAGAATCGACCCCAGTGGGTCCCATCCCCAAACTACAGAGCGGAGGCACACATAACTGAAGGATTGCCCCACAGTCAATGTGTAGAGGTGGCTGAGACATGTGGAACAGCCCCATGCACAGCCTGAACACACACACTGTGGATCCACGGATCACACACATATGACGCGGTAGGGGATCGAACCCGCGACCTTCCGCTCTCCGGGCGGACGCTCTAACCACTACACCACGTAGGCGGTCTGGCATTTTAGAATATGCTATTTGATGAACATGAAGAATTTTCTGGATTTCATCTTCCTTTTATTCTTTGATACGTTTCGGGGCCTGGTCCGTCCCATCATCAGGCTAATGATTAGTTTTACTTGATGATCGGGCCGGAACGTATCAAATAATAAAAAGAAGATGAAATCCAGAAAATTATTTATGTTCAATAAACAAAAAGTTCATATCCCTGTATTTATGATTGATATACTCAAAGAAACGCGTTCGGTTTTAAATCAAATTTAGAGCTATTATAATTTCGTTATGTGCCTCTGATTTTCCAACACAGTTTGCGTATCTCCTAAATGACTGACAAGTTATTTATCACTCATATATGGACTCACTGGTTGTTGAGACTCTTGTTGACAGTAAACGCTGTTTGAACCTATCAACGCTTCACCGTGATTCACCACTACCCCAGGAAAATATATATTCTGGAAATTTTGCAATTTACAGTCCAAGCGACTCAGAACCCTGGCATAACCTTGGGGTCGTCCGAATAGGACTGCAGAAGTTGGGGCCCGCAGAAGAAAGCTTTCTAGAGGCTCTTCGACACCGCAGGATGTTTCCTAACTGTCTATTTAACCTGGGCAATTTGGTAATTTTTTCTATGCCATTTCAGTGGATACGCTATGCATTCAGACACATGCTCTCGCACATAATCACTGTGAAGATCCGGGTTAGAATTGATCTTCAGTAACTCATGCATGTCCTCAGAGCCGACTAACGGGATCAGGTGGTCAGGCTCGCTGACTTGGTTGCCACATGTCATCGTATCCCAATTGCGTAGATCGCTGTGCATGCTGTTGATCACTGGATTGTCTGGTCCAGACTCGATTATTTACAGACCACCGCCACATAGCTGGAATATTGCTGAGTGCGGCGTGAAACTAAACTCACTCACACACTTACACATAATCATACGCACTGACGCACGATCATAAAGACGCACGATAACAAACATACGATCCCACTCATACACAGACGTACAGATGCACAAACAAAGAGACTCAAAATCTCAGGCACGCACGCATACACACAAATACTCATACTGGATCACATTGACACATATATACAAACACACACATACCCATATACATATACATGAAGGGTGCAGCCCAACCTTCTACCTGTCACTCGGCAATGGCGACAAAGCATTGTCAACAAACATAGTAAAATATCTCCAACGTAGCAACTTCACCACATTGATAATTATAGTTTCGTGTGAACAACCTCTCATCAGCACAGCAGTCTGACCATGTAGATATCGTAACCAATAAATGAGTGAATATGAGCTGTCTGATATAATTAACTGTTTTTTCATGGTGTCATTCAATATACATGTACATGTATCTCAGAAAACCAGAAACTGTCATGAACCACGATGTTCATGATATGTATTTAACACTTCTAATCTGTTTATAATAGTTTGGCCCAGGTTTTTGCTAAAGACGTGATCGACAAATAGTTCGAGAGACACTGGTGACGTTAGAAATTCTGATATCATACAGCCGTTTTTGTTACCTTATAGACAGTAGACAGATATATATTGTCAGGAGATACTCGTAAGGCTTGAAATACAGTTAAAGGGTGATATCTTAGTTACGGCGACCCTTGTTACCTTGTAGCAAGGTTTTGCTCATTGTTCAGATGTAGAACGTCAGATTCAGCAGATGCCATCGAAACATTGCATCATTGTTGACGCCATGTCATTTCCTTGAATGTATCTGAAAAAAGGATTTTGTAATCACAAGTACAGTGTGTTGAACGTTTAGTGTGTGAGTGAGTAAATACTCACCGTTACATCGGTAATAATGCAGCCATATCGTGACGAGTACATGTAACCCATAAAAATCCCGTCGCCTGTGGACAGAAACACAGCTAAAGTTTGACTCAAAACAAGCATGTAATGATAAACAGATATAAAAACAGGCTATAGATCGCACGCAACTGAATTTGTCATTTGTGTAGTGAAAACAAAGAAAGGTCCACCATAGTAGGAACCATGGGTATTTACTGTAATTTTGCTACCTTCAGGGACACCAGTTGCATAGTTTCGATATACGCTTTAATTGACAAGGTCTTACCCACAGACGAGCTCCATCCTGTAAACATGGACTTAACATTGACTGTTGCAGTACAAGTACCTGGGTCGCCATACAGAGGCCATCGCGGCATGGCGGAATGTTACACAAATCAGTCCTACATACACCGGGGCCTGGAAACACACTGTGATGCTTCTGCAGGATCTGGGTAAGAGATGCATTAGCCGGTATCCTCCACTGACAATGAAAACAAAAACCTCAGAAATGATTTATTTTATTTCAGTTTTATCAAAGTGAAATATTATAGAGACTAAGATTGTAGAAATATCATTGACATAACCACAAACCCGTTTGACATATTACAAATGTATGCCTGGCTGAACCTTCATCCATCAGCATAAAGAGAACTGGGTTGAATGAGAATTATACTGACGTACAAAAGAAAGTTCACATCTGGTGGTGGTGGTGGTGGGGTGGGGGTTTGACCAAAGAAAACGTGAAAACCGTCTTGATTGTCTTAATATTGACACTGTGTACTCGTTGCCAAAACACCAGGGATATCCTTCACAACGATGTGAGTGCAAAATTGTGACAATCAGGATTTTGTTTTACGTCACTTTGTAAATATGAAATTTCCCTATGCAGGAAAATATGACCGTGCTATTGTGGTTGGTAAAGAAGCTCTAAAGTTTCTCCCTGACGAAGCCGACTTGCTGATTAATCTTGCAAGCGTGTACACGAAGGCAGAGAGGTACGAGGAAGGTGAACACCTGTTGCAGACTGCCATTAAGAGACACCTGCATCCGCTTCTACATCACAGTCTAGGTATGGGGTAACCATCAGAGGTTATGTAATATCAACAAGCAATTGACGTAAAGTTCAAGGCGTAGGGCATTTTCATACTTGTATCTCTGAATGCTCAGTGTGTGAGTGAGTTGACATGTTTTAAGTCACGTCAGCAATATTTCATCCGTATTGTGACTGTAACATAGTTTATTAAAGAATCTACTCTTTACCTATCCCTATTATGATGAAATAGCCACTTATGATTTAACATATATTATACCTGGGATTACACTTTGATAATCTTACGTAACGTTCCGATAATAGTATCTGAACTGAGCCCCATTCGTAATTCAAATCCACACTCTCAGAGGCACGCAAAGTCAGAATGCACTTTACTTTAAAGGTCCTGTAAGCTCGTGTGTGAGTTGGGTTTTAAAACCGCTTTTTTTGCAATATTCCAGCAATATCACTTCGGGGGACACCAGAAATGGGCTTCACAAATTGTACCCATGTGGGGAATCGAACCCGGTTCTTCGGCGTGACGAGTCTTAGTGGAGAACGAATGCCAGTTCTTGTATGTGAATTCCATCCGGAGTTTGAAACCACATTCTCAAAGTGAGGCACACATCTAGTCAGCGATCTTACACAAATATGAAAATCTGACAACTGGTAGTCTGGAAGCTATACTTTACTGAGAAAGTGAACTCACAAATATAACATGCCACATTTGACCGCTTTCTAAAGGTCATCTTGTACTCATTTTACCTAATTTGTCTTTTTTCAGGCATGTTATATTACCGATGGGGAAAGAATGAGAAAGCAATGACAACCCTTCTAAGGGCAAAGCAACTATCGCCAAGTGACCCTCTTATCCTCAAGGACCTGCAGATGCTTAATGAAGAAATAGGGGAAAGCTAAAAATAACTTCTACATGGATCATATTTGTATCTTATGTCGTGTGAGAGCATTAGTCGCTGTCACAGATCGGGAAGGTATCATCTACCTGAGCAGAAAAGTAAACAGAGGATGGCAGATACTGGCGTGATGTAAAGAAGATCAAAGTGTGCGTAATATACAGTAACCCACGGTTACAACGAACTCAGGGACCAGTTTTGTTCGTTATTACCATAGTTCGTGATACACGTGTTGATAATTACAGATAATTACAGAGGAATTTCTCTTATAGATTCTACATGTAAGGTTTTTATGTCTATTCTTAACCGTCGCCTTCAGTGGTAGTTTAAAGATCATAATATTATTAGTAAATCGCAGGCTGTTTTTAGAGCTGATTATTCTACAATTGATCATATATTTTCTTTACAGTCTTTAGTTTAAAAAGATATTGGTAAAAAAGGGGGTAGATTATATGGTCTGATTGTGGATTTTACCAAAGCCTTTGATGCCTTAAGGCATGATGTACTTATAAAATCACTTGCAGAAGTTGGTATAAGGGGTAAATTTCTAAAGTTGTTAACATCTATGTACAGTTCTCTGTCTGCTTCAGTTAGGACATCTAGTGGCTTATCAGGTAGTTTCTCTTGTAATATTGGCATCCGTCAAGGATGTGTATTGAGTCCACAAACATTTATTATTTTTATCAATAAGTTTTGTTGTCTTTTAGACAGAGATGGTGGCCAGGGTATTCCAGTTTCATCTTCCATTAGCAATCTTTGTTCTCTCATGTTTGCTGATGATGCGTCAGCTGTTGCTGATATTTGTGTGCAGCTTCAGAGGAAGATTGATGTTCTTAAAAGGTTTTGTGATCAGACAGGTATGAAAGTCAATTTGAAGAAGACAAAGATTATTGTGTTTAGAAATGGTGGTCCTCTGCGTTCATATGAGAAATGGTTTTATACAGGAAATGTCATAGATACTGTATCCTATTATAAGTACTTATGAATTTTGTTCTCTCCTAAATCAGCTTGGACTAAAGCTAAATCTTACCTGGTGCCACAAGCAAATAAGGCTTTGTTCTCTGTTAAAAACATTGAAAGGAAACTTGGTAATATTAATTGTACAGATCTTTTTAAAATATTTGATAGCATGATATCACCCATTCTTTGCTATGGTTCTGAAATGTGGGGCACATCTTATTGTACTACAATTGAAGCTGTTCATATCAAGTTTTGTAAATATGTGTTGAAAGTTGGAAAATCCACATGTAACATTATTGCCTTAGGTGAATGTAGAATACCTCTACAGTTTACTTAAGCCTTGTTTACATGCACCACATTTACCCCCATGGGTATTTAGCCCCTGGGGGTAAATTTACCCACAGGGGCAAATGGCAAAATTGTGCCTGCGTTTACATGGTGGGAGGTATTGATATTTCTTGTCACTTCTCTATAACCATGGATGAATATAGACGTTTGTCCAAATCTAGAAAACGTAAGAGATTCATCCAAACTTTGTGCGTGGGTTCATCACTAGAGAACGCCTTGTTTTGGAAAAGGAAAGGAGTAGATATTGGTGGGAAGTAACTGTACCACGTTTTGATGAAACCCATTGTAGAGAAAACGTCAGAATGTCAAGGGACATGTGCCAGCGCATCTGTGAAAAGTTCCATCTTCACATTCAAAAAGATTCGAGTAGCAGTGGCAATATACTACTTGGCCACAACAGTAGAATATCGCATTGTTGGTAATCTGTTTGGGATTCACAGGTCAACAGTTTCTTGTGTAGTACATGAAGTGTGTTATGCCACTTGTACACACGTGTTTCCTGATGTTGTGAAGTTTCCTATAGGTGAGGAAAGCTTCAAAGCTTACCACAGACTGGAAGGAAAGAGTGGGTAGTGCTAACAATGATGGTGACATGCCGGGACATGCCTGTCGTCGTCATTGCAGATCCGGCCTGTCGCATGTCTCACTAGCTCTTAACACTTTACGGCAACGGAGGAACCCAATCGGATGAGAAGTCATACTTCAACTTCCGCTTCAGCAGTGCCCGGATGCTCATTGAAATACATTAGGACACTTCAAAGGAAGATGAAGGCGCATAACATGTATGAATCAAACCACATGTTCAACCCTGACTGGCTGGATGAGGTTGAGATACATGATGGCGACCAAGGACCACAAGGTCAAGTTGATACCACTGGACAAGAATGTTGGACATATGATGGATGATGGATTGGCATATGGTTGAGGAGTTTTCAAGATGAACTGTAGCATACGCAATTGGTGTTCTCTGTCAGAAGCTTTCTGTCTTTCTCCTCTATCCAGTTTCCTAAGTGCAAGCTCTCTATTTTCTTTCTCGTCATTTTTCTCATTTCCAGCTCAATTTGTTCCTTTCCAACTCAATCTGCCTTGCTTCAATATCTTCATTAGGTTTAGCAAACTAGTCCATGACAGTTTTCAAAGTTGTTTTCAGTTTGGGTTTTCTTTGTTTTCCTTTTTTGTTTCTTTTCATATGACCATTTTGTTGGCCATTTTTAACACATTCATAATCTCCTGGCTCAGCAAGTTCGACATCATCAGCAATGTTGTCGGTAACATGATCATCAGTAACTTCAAGATCAGATATGTCTGTATCTGATGCAACTGACTGCTGGAGACTTTGAATGCCCTTTCCAGGTGATGTCGCAAAATTTCATTTAGCTGTTCATAAAATGTGCAGAGTTTTCGCGTCTGTCCACTCCTCTTAAGTGAATCCCTACACTGTCTATATCATTTTAAAGTGTTTTCGTTCGTTCTGTGCATTGTATGGCCGTTTTCGCAAAGCCCAGTTCATGCATTACTTTGTTCACCTTTGAAATAACAGCTGTATCAGCTTTTGAGGGGCTGTGAAGAAGGGACTGGATGGGCATGTCTCCGCAGATACTAAGCAGACCCTTTGTCTCATCGTCTGTCCAGAAGGGACTGAATGGGCATGTCTCCGCAGATACTAAGCAGACCTTTGTCTCATCATCTGTCCAGGCTTAACCACGTCGTAAACGCTTGTTTATCGGAGGCATGTTGTTTCCAGTGTAGAGCTACAGATTAATGACAGGGTGGGTAGTGCATACCAACAACATACATACCAACAAAATGCATGTCTTGATTTCCTCGAAAACCATTCCATTATAAGCAGGGATGGATGGTTTTACAAATGTACCCCTGGTTGTATTTAGCTTGATAGACCCTTTACATGACACTTTTACACTGAATTTGCTCCACCTCTTGACCAGGGGCAGAATACCCCCTGTGGGTATAATTTACCCCCTGTTAGACCCGTTTACACGACAAAATTTGCCTCTCAGGGGTATTTTAACCCCATGTGGTATTTTACCCACGGGGGCCAAGGGGTGCATGTAAACAAGGCTTTATACATCTAATGCAGTACAATACTGGTGTAGAGTCTTAAACATGCCTGATTATAGATTACCAAAACAGTGTTAGCTTATGTTACTATCCTTAAACAATGTAGGTCGCACTTCATGGGCACCTAGAATAAAATATATTCTTTTCCAATTTGGTTTTGGTTTTGCTTGGATAAGTCAGGAGAATTGTAATCAAAAAGTCTTTATGACATTATTTAAACAAAGATTATCTGACAATTTATTCCAGTCGTGGCAATTATCTTTACAAGATAACAGAAAGTGTACTTATTATAAACATTTTAACTCTATGTTAACTGTATTAAAATATGTGTTACATAATGAGCTTCCTCAATATTTAAAAATATATTTGCTAGATTCGGGTGTTGCAATTTTAGACTAGCCGTGGAAAGGGGCAGATATTCTGATATTAACTATAATGAAAGGTAGTGTCTATATTGCAAATCTAATGGTATTTTATTAATTGAAGATGAATGCCATGTATTTTATGTGTGTGAAACATACTCTAGTATCAGGAATAAATATATTAAGAAATATTTCAGTAATTTCCCCACAATTATAAATTTTATATCTATTGAAAATATGGATATGATAAAAATGTATGTTTATTCATATATCATGTAAACAAGAAACACAAAGTGTAAATACTGAAAAATGCGCTGATGTGTTACATATTATCATGAGTGTATTTTTGGCCGGAGGCATGTTACTGAATAAAATGTCTGTCTGTCTGTCTGTCTGTCTGTCTGTCTGTCATACACGTGTTGAAAATAATACTGCAACAGGCAGGGGGGGGGGCGCATTTCGTTTTATCCGTCAGTTCTTTATAAGCGTGTTCGTTATAAATGTAGTTTATTGTATACTCATATATGTATATATGTATATATTCAATTCTATACTCAAGCACTATATTTCGTTTTATTGTCTTTGTTCTTTAGCGCCATACTCAACAAGTCCGTCTGTCTGACAGCGGTCTGTAACAATACTGTCTGAACCAGACAAGTCAGTGTCGTATCACATGGAGTTCCGACGAACACACACACACACGCAAAACACAATTGTCATGGCTCGTCACTATATGGCTGTTATACTGCCGATGTCACGTAAAGCTCAACTCAACTGAACTTAATTGTCATGGGCGCGGATCTTTTAGCCAACTGTGTTGAAAAGAAATGAAACACAGAGTTTCATATTTTATATAATGTGTATACATAACATGTCCAAATGCTCTGCTCCATAACAGTGTTTTTTTCTGTTGATAAAATAAATCTCTAGCATATAGCAACATTTCATGGGGGCCCCCTTTGGATTCATTTTCAGGATTTCAACGAACACATTATTTAATATAAATATAGTGAGTGAGTGAGTTAAAATTTAACGTCACATCGGCAATATTGCAGCCATATCGTGACGAGAACAGTTGATATCAATATTCAAATCAATAAATGTATAACGTAAAAACCTTTCATCGAAGGACAGTAAAACTACTAGAATACCACAGCTTTTAATTTAAAACTAGTACGCAATCATAAAAATCATCTCATATCACGAGGGACAACAGTACAATATAAAATGGGCTATAGATCACCAGCAACTGAAGGTTGATCACCATACTAAGGACCATGGGGACTTACAGTACCTTTGCTACGTATATGGACCCCAAAGGCCAGTTGGATTTACATCATCCCTTCAGCAGCCGTCGAGTTATTAATTTAAACTTCCAATTATAACATAGTTATCTATTTATAAATCAGTTTACAAATCTAATTCTTTTAAAAATGCAATAATTAAATGAGAACTTATATTATTAAAAAGATCCTTCATAGTTCGTTATCTCTTGTGGTGGAATATTCAACACAGTCTAGCAAGACATGCTTGACTGTGATTCTTTCATCACAAGGGATACAAAACAGGAGGATCCTCACCTTTCAAGACCGCCTCCGTGGTGTAGTGGTTAGAGCGTCCGCCCGGAGAACGGAAGGTCGCGGGTTCGATCCCCGACAGCGTCATACCAAAAGACGTTAAATCGTGGTACTTGTTGGTCCCTGTCTGGCGCTCGGCATTAAGGGGTACAACAAGGACTGGTCGCCTCGGAGTCAGTATAATGTGTCTGAGTGGGGTATTTCTGCTTCACTGCGGCATGGTATCTAGCACTATAAAACCAGCTTCAGTCTGGGCTAGTACAAGCAGCCGCACATACACATACAAACGCATGCACGTCGTCATATGAGCGAAATATTCTCCAGCACGACGTTAAACCCACTTTCACCTCACCTCACCTTTCAAAAGGTATTCATGAGTATATATTTGTGTGGCCAATACGACATCGTTGCATGATGACCTCTTCAAATCTGGACTGACAACCCAAGTAGGTGTAACCAATGTAAGGTTTTATGTCATGTAATTTATTAATACCCATTGCATCAGATCACGGATGTAAGTTCTAATGCTAGCTTTGTACTCCGAGTATGGGATAAGAAGTGGTGTCACGGATTTGTTGAGTGCTGCCTTGGCAGCAAGATCGGCCATTGTATTCCCAGAAATTCCAACGTGGCTGGGTAACCAACAGAGGACGATGTCGTACTGGCCAGTTGCAAGATCATTATATAATTCTATAATTTCTATTAAAAGTGGATGTTTACAAGAAAGATTTTTAATCGCCTGAAGGCAAGAAAGAGAGTCTGAAAATATTATATATTGTTTATAATTAGGGTGTTTTTTAATATATTTAAGCGCTGTTAGCAAAGGAGGAGAAGAACGAAGACGGGAAGGAGATATATTTCCAGCACAATGCCAGCCGCAGTAATGAATGGCTTAATTCTAAGCCCAAGAGGAGAACAGGAGAAGATTTCTTGTTTTAAAAATCCTCATAAAGAGGATTAAAGAAACAGTGAAATGCAGGATTAAGCTCGTTAGTATATAGTTTTGTAAAATATTGTAATTTTATACGCGTTGGGTAAGAGAAGGCTCATCTGCCTCGACGTAGAGACTGTCAACAGAAGTTCTTAATGACCCATGACAAAGTCTCAGACCTTGGTGGTGGACAGAATCTAATAGTTTTAGGTTGCTTTTGTAAGCTCCACCATATATGATGGAGCCATAATCACGCCACGAGCGGACCAATGATCTATATAGGTGTAGGAGGGTAGTTTGATCCCCTCCCCACTTTGAATTAGAAACTACTTTCAATAAATCGAGTGCCTTCAGTCATTTATTTTAAATCTATTTAATATGCGGCATAAAAGTCAAATGGGAGTAAAAATATAGACCCAAGAACTTGGCATCTTTGACAACTTTGATTGGAGTGCCATTTAAATTTAGTTCTGGGTCCTTATGCGACTTATATTTTCTACAGAAGTGTATACAATTAGTTTTGGACTTTAAAGCCGTTTTCAAGACACCATTTATTGATTTTGTTTAAACACAAATGCAGTTGCCGTTCAATAGTATGCATATTTTTACCGCGACAAGAAATATTAATATCTTCAACAGAAAGTGATCCATCGATTGAATAATTTAAAACCTTAGAGAAACTATTTATTTTAATGCTAAACAATGTTACAGATAAAATACTTCCTTGTGGGACACCCTGATCCTGATTATAATGGTCAGACAGGGTAAAACCCACGTAGACTTGAAATAATATAAATATGGAGGAAATGTACCACATTCAATATAAACAATTGTATATGTACTTTGAGTTTTGACACTAAGGAGCTGTGTACATTCCTGAATTGTTTTAATCCCCATACCTCAGCTCATGCAGTAAAAATGAAATGAATTTTCATGTTAAAAATCTGAAAGCATGACTTGAAACATGTATCACAGAGAAATTGTATATTCTTTGTTAAACCAGATATGGTCTTCTCTTCCATGTACAGAATAATGGTAACTTCCCTCTGTGGCACATGTCCCTGTCACACATCACTGATTTCACAGGCCACGGAGGGAAATTGAGTAGAGGCCACGTGCCACAGAGGTACATGTCACCAGTTTCAATTAACGAGGTGTGAATGGCTGAATGGTGAAAGTTTATTATTACTATGTGTTAGCGGGGTATAATTAATTAATTGTTGAATCGCTACTGATGGTATTGTGGTAATCTCTTCTTTGTGGGTTTCTTATGCAATTTCGTAACAACCTCTCATATAATGCTATCAATCTGCCAATTAAGGTCCATCAATTAAATCCCGTGTTAATGACCTAACACCTTATCAGTCATGGCACTCAAGGACACACAAAACGACCATAGGCCACAGCGGGAAACTTCATCTGGATGATTAAAATCTCATAGGCCAAAGAGGGAAATACCACAGAGGTACTAAACCAGAACAATCAACACAAGTGAACACCTAAATATTACTAGTGTGTAATTACATCCAACGTTTCTCATTTGGAGGATCACTCTCTCATTGTGTAATTCAATATTTTCAAATTACCAGCCTTTATCCCATTTGCGTAGATCGATGCTCATGATGCTGATCACTGGATGATCACTCGATTATTTACAGACCGCCGCCATATAGCTGGAATGTTGCTGAGTGTGACGTTAAACATAAAACCAACCAACCAACATCCCCATGTACTATTCGAATTTATACCAATACCTTATGTATGTGTATGGTCCTACTACTCATGCCCTGTGCAACTCATTTGAAACAGCCATCAAGACATATACTTCGACTAACAATTGACCTTGTGAATACCTGGGATTAAACTTTCTTAGTAAAGTACAGATTCTAGTACAATTTTTGGGGTTGAGTCACATCAGGGATTAGAACCCACACTACTTGCCAGCATACAAAGCCGGCGACCTCACCCACTCAGCCACCAGGTACGTTTATTGGTCCGTGATTTGAACCCTCACTCTCAAAGTGAGGCAACAAATCGCCGACACAATGTGATTTACTGTTAAAGTGTTATCCCCAATATAACATTTAAATGTTACTTTCGACCTTTCACTAAAATGGCATTTCTATTCAATAATACTATTAAAAAATACGTATATGATGGGACTTCGAAAAAGAGACCTTCAAGGTCACCCCAAAGTAGAAATAAAGGTCATATGGTAAAACACCCGGATGTGACCTTTAACCAAGAGTCAGTCATCTGTGATTGCAGCATGTAAGAAAATTGTAAACGTTATTTAAGACAAAAACAAGATTTATTAACAAAACTTATAGGTTTTTTGTGAGGTAGAACCCCATTTGAAATGGCTGTTCATCGGAGGTAATAACGGTAAATGGCTGGTTCAGATCCTCGCTCAAGGCGGTGCAGCATTCAGTCCTGGCCAATGAGATTCGGCGAAGCCCTATCCAGAATGATGAGAACTGAATTCTCGGTCCATTCCGCGAGTTGGACAAAATCAGAGTCAAGTGCAGAAACTGTGAGCTATGGTGCGTATCATAATTCAAATAGCAAAGGTGAGTGAGTGAGTTTCGTTTTACGCCGCACTCAGCAATATTCCAGCTATACGGCAGCGGTTTGTAAATAATCGGGTCTGGACCAGACAATCCAGTGATCAATAGCATGAACATCGATCTGCCAATTGGTAACCGATGACAAGTGTCAACCAAGTCAGCGAGCCTGACCACACGATCCCGTTAGTAGCCTCTTACGACAAGCATGGGTTACTGAAGATCAATATTCTAATCCGGGCCTTCACGGGTATCAAATAGCAACAGCAAAAACTCAGTGAAATTATGAAATGCTCAGAAACTGTAACAGTCATGGTAAACACAGTTTTGTTCATCATTTGAAATTAATGCTTTCCCTGATGAAACCGTTTCATAAAGAGTTTTAGCGAACCAGAGGTTTTTCGTTAACTCTTTAGTTTATTCAGTTCTTGATCAGACACCACTTCATCCAATACTTGATAAGGCACCAAATCTTGGTTCTCGTCTGTTCTGTCCTCCTTACAGAACTTCCAGAAGAGGAAGGAGAGAGCTGAAGCCACCAGCATGGGGAGGAGGGCGAACACGATCACATACATCCATGCTCTTGCCTTACAACTGCTCCACATGTCAATGCTCTGATGACGTGCTCTCCGGCTGCTGTGAAACACCACGCTCTGTTCAGGATTAAGGGAGACATCAAAGCGGCAAGATGGTTTACCTGGGACAAACGTACAGTTTGATGTCGCTTTCGACACATCATACAAAGTCCGTTTGATGAAGAAGTTTGCCGTCGATGATGCATCAAAGAGTCCATCGTTGAAGAACACAAAGAAATAGTTGTCTGCTTCTGAGGAGTTCATTGCATAGGTGTCAAGAGACTGCAAGTCGTGTTTGTAGATGTAACATCCACTACAGTCTCCTTTACCGTCCAGCCATGTTTGAAGGTTGCTTTCTCCTTGGATCACAAAGATTTTCGTGAATATTGAAAATATGTTGCTGCTGTTGAACTGTAGTGTTGACCCGGGGAGAAGATAGAATCCCCAGTATTCGTAATTATTTCTAACTATGGTCATCTTGTAGCTTGTATTAAACTCCTCAGTCCTGTTAAGATCTACCACGGGTTCCTGGTCAAAGGTGTAGGCTTCGAAAGGATCGCTGGAGTTGAGAGTGAGGCTCTGACAGAAGACGTTGTTCACGTGGTCCTGTACTTTCCGCATGTCTGTTGGCGCAGCCTGGAACTTGTTGGTGCCGAGGACGTTGATACTGATGAGAAGTCCGGCGGTGAGGACGGCAGTGGCAACATAGATCCAGAGGAGTGCGATGCGGAGGTAGCGGGACATTTTCCTGATGCAGAGGAGAATGCTGGCAATGTTGATGCCAAGGACGACGAGTTTGCAGCAGCATTTCTCGCACTCTGCGTCGCCGCTTACTGAGGTGCTATGTGTGGTATGGTGGTAGTGGTGTATGTGGATTCCCCCAGTGCTAAAACCACCGCCACTGAACCCGCCTCCCCCGCCACTAGAGAAACCTCCGGCACCGTGTGTCATCCTAAAAACAGAAAGGGAAAACGTTTGTCTCAACATGCAGTGATCTGTGATCGATAATTTCTAATTACATGTACATGTATGTACTTCTTTAGTGATATTTAATGTAGACATGTTTGAATCCATATGATACACATCAAATCTGAGAAAACATTTACCCGAATTATATGTAACTTTGATCCTTTATCAAATATTCTGCCTCTCATTCAAATATATTCCAGAGTTACAGATAACTTTTTGGGTCATTGAGTTATGTACTCGCTTGTGTTCATTTCAATTGGGTACCTTAATGTTCCTTTGAGTAACCAAATATATTGTACCCACCTCACACAAAATTGGGTATTTTGACATTTTCCATTAATTGTAAAAATCTAATAAACTTTAAATGTTGGTTTAAGTGTTCAGGTGTTGAAACTGAACCTCCCAATTTACCTCAGTTATCTCTTTGTATTTGTACGCATGTAATATCAAATTTATTGAGTATTTACAAAACTTCAAGCGTACTCTTACGCAATAGACTTAATAGGAATTGAATTTTCACTAAAGCTGCGTAGATTACACACTTATTTTTATTTGTACCTCGGGGGCACATGTATGCTTGGAAAGAAATGTTTCGAATAAACGTGTGTCTTTTAAGTCGCATCGTGATTTCATTTGTAATGACAGTACGATACAACACATATGTAAAAGTCTGTCAGTTAATGTCTGGAATTTGGCGAAGCTAACCTTAATAAATGAGGACATTTCAGTAAATAATGCATTTGTTAATACAGTCTATATCCTGTGTTGTAAAAACACCATGTTACATTTATATAATGGCGGTGAACTGCTAATATAATCATGTCTCACCACAAACAGAACATGTCTTACCACAAACTGAGCATGCCTTATCACAGACAATGCTATATGTGTAACTACAGTGAGTGAGTAAAAATTTAACGTCACATCGGCAATATTTCAGCCATATAGTGACGAGAAATGTTTTATATAAACAATCAAGTAAAGTTGCTAAATAATCAATCATCGAAGGACTGTAAAATAACTACAGTATCACAGATGGAGTCTAAAACTAGCATGAACATGTAAAACTATTTTATTTACGAAGACAATACAATATAAAAACGGGCTATAGATCGCCAACAACTGAAGGTAGATCACCATACTAGGAACCATGGGGACTTACATTACTTTTGCTACCTGCATGGATGTAACTACAGAGCCACATCTCACTACAAAAAGCATCCGTGGCTCACAACTAACCAAACTCTGGCTATTGTTTCCACTGACATTGTTCTTCACCTTCGATGAGCATTGAAAATTCATCTCAAAATAACGAATTCGTACAGCGTCAGAATTCAATATTAAAATTTAACTCACTCCTTCTGATAATACATAATCATTATTAACACTCAGAAATGCATGCCTCTCACCTCAAATTTCAGATTATTCTCAATACGATTTCAATCAATGTTCACGACAACCAGGGTGCACTTGCTTGTGATGAACAGGTATGTTTCCAAACCGCTCTGTATATAGGTGTTATATGAAACTCGGTGATATACTTCCCTGTGTGAGGATGTAGAATGACACGACACTGCTCTCTCTCCCTCTATATATAGATGCTGTAACGCTGGCGGTGATTTTCCTGCTTGTGATAATTAATGGTTTATAGGGCAAACTGCCCTGACCTACTTGTGATATCTTTAGATAGACCGTATGGTGTCTCTGTCGTGTACATATGTAAATATAGCGGTTTTACTCACCACAGTTATTGATAACTGTTGTGTCTGTTACAAACAGTCTTGCCAAATCCTATGTGAAATCAGATATGAAATATCATATTACATGACGGACCGGCGTGTTCACATTACGTTGGTAAACATGTGACAAGGAATTGGACGTTGCGACACACTGTGTGTGGAATTTTACCTATCATGATTCACAGGACAGTTGCCCAATTCCAAACAACCGTCACACAATATGTCTTTGTTGCCATTTAAGGAAACTTTTAATGCTTTTGAATGTTTTATTATCACAGGGGAGGTTCTGTAAGCCAGTGGTGACAGTGTTTGGTGGCCTTTCTTTTTGACCACGTTCGATTCCCCAAATGGATAAATCATGTTGTTGATCACTGGATTGTCTTGTCCAGACGCGATTATTTACAGACCGCCGCCATATAGCTGGAATATCAGGCGCGTAGCAAGCCAATATTTTCGTGTAAGCCCGATAGGTTGCAAACAACAATCAGGTGTAAGCCCGGGCTTTTTCTATAATGGTAGCTACGTCCCTGAATATTACTTAGTGTGGCGTAAAACTAAACTCCTGTGAACTCACTCACTCACTCACTCCAAACGGATACAAAATATGAAAATGTTCTTTGTCTCCCGGTTATCTAACCCAACTCACATGCAGTTATCATCATCGTTAACATCTGAAACGTCGAATTTATCAACATCATCATCATCATCATTATTATCTACGTAGTTATTATCATAAAGATAAAATCCTTCTATAGCATTATCATCTACTCCGCATATTAGCTTGCCATAGAAAATCGCCTATGTAAGAGTCCTGTCACGTGGTGAACATTTCCTCCTCAGCATTAACGTGTGTATTCATGGGAAATGACGTCATAACTCCAGTCGGTAAAACTCAAGAGGATATTTCACATCACTTGAGCTGTCAGCGAGATTATGGGTCAGGTTTCTGATATGTACAAACACAGCGGCGACCTGAGCAGAGAAGGAGGTCGCTGCCACGAACACATTGTGCTGCGGAAAACTTTACGTCGTGTGTTGAAATACTGACAGTTTCGCTTGTGCTAGAATGGACTGTTAATATTCCGTTGTGAGCTGGTATTACAGCGTGTAACTCTGATCCATCTGCAGTAAAATATCTTACGTTCCCTTTGAGTTGAAGATGCAAACACTGATAAATCCTTTAAAATTCCTGAGTGTAGAAATGCGCAAACGTTACCAGGCCAATTAGGCTAGAAAACACAAGGGAGTGCATACACACACACACATTAAAGTGTCTTCAGCTTCACGTTCCAACGCAGCCATGTGAAGGCGTTCTCAGCTGTTCAAAGCTTGCCATGTGCTCAGCTGAATGTGTACTGCTGGTCATGTGAACATTTGCTCAGTTGAATATGTGAAGCTATTCATGTGAAGGCGGGCTCATGCGAATGTGTAATTGGCTTTATGAAGGTGTGTGTAGTCACTCATAAGCACAGCACAGCGTCAGCTATGTAACCCACTTAGCCACCTTGATACCTCGATACCTGACTAGACAAAAAATACGACAGTGTCAGCCTTATAGAATGCAAATATTTGAAAATATTTGGTTCCAACACTGACATTTGCCGTCTAAAGCACCGACACAGGTACATAGGTATGTGATTCTGGAACTACTCAGTACTGGCGTGAAAACACTGTTACACAGTGTGCGAAATTGTTTTCCCAAAATTTGCTATGCCTGACAGTTACTAGCCCATAAAATAATTTACTTGCCCGAAATTCGAATTCTGGGGATTAACTGGCCCGACTGAATTTTTACAAGCCACGGGCTAGCGGGCCAGTGGCTATTTCGGACACTGGTGTTACATATGTATTACTACCCTTCGCCTGAGGGACGTTGAACAGACAGGACACCGAGTTCCTGACCCGTGTGTTAACCACTTAGGTGTTCACATTGTATACTTACTGCAATATATACTTGCAAGAGTAAAATCTACCCCAGACTCGGTCAACATGGCACGTGTTTTAAAATGGCGCTTTTTTATAATAACCAATAGGAGCAGCATTATGTGACAACTATAATTCAACTGACAATAGACTATATCTACACTCACAAACATTCAGCAGTAGGTTTTTCTGTTGTGACTGTTCCTACGCTTACCCCAACTCAATGCCGGTTTCACGACCCGAATGAACATTTTTTTAGGGCCTTGTGAAACCTTGCTGATTTCGTGTTCTGTTGTGTGTTGCGCACGTGCATCCCACATGTTTATAAACGATGGTCTATCCAGTTATTGGTGACTTTTAAGAGGAATGTCAATGGTGTTTGAGTTTGTCTATCGTGTGGCTTGCAAATGTATACATAGTCTGTCAGCCAAACTTTTGGGACACCCCCTTTGTCAAATATCTTCAACATGAGACCAACTGACCTCATGCCATTAACGTATATCTTAATGATCCCCATTGACTCAGTGTTCGCGGTAGGTTTTTAACGAGCGCGTACAGAAATAAAATTATAGTTTTGAAATAGTGTGAAATTTTCATTAAAATAACATCATTATCATAACAAATAAGTCTAATTACATGCTTTAACTTACGTTCCGGTGTTTGAATATAATGAACGATCATTATGTGACTGCAGTTTGCCTATCCCGGGTGGAAGTCACTCCCTGTCTACCGACGATCGTTAATAGTGGTTTTACATACCGATCCTATTACTGATAATATTAGTATTTGTAAACTGGGCTTTGGTTGGTTGAAATGCACAACTTCCATTGAATTCCTTCGACTGTAACCAATGACATCCTGTGTCTGTGATTAGTTATTCCCTTGTACGTTTGACATATAATACGGCATACGAAAGACGTATTTTTTTTGGGGGGGGGCAAGTTCGTTGACAAGAGGATAGATGTTGACCTGGGCGAGATTATCCCAAATATCGTCACGAGTAACGGATACCCGAAAGTCAACTATAAAAGCCCTATGACTGCTAATGGTGTCGACTGATCAGACATAACCGACTTACATGGACAAATATAATAATATGATGTTATTGTTTTGAAAACCGTGTATGTATTAAAGATAACCCAAGTTGTTATTGTGGAAATATTTGTGAAAATTCTTATTATCTCTCTGAATGTCAATTATATTCAGTTTAGAGAGAAGTGACTAATTACGCGGTATTGTTAATAACAATATAAATTGTGAGTTAGTATTACATGGCAACGTAATTCACCTCAAAGAAACCATGTTTAGAATTGTTTAAACTTACATTTGTCAATCAAGAAGATTCTTTTAATTCGTGCAATACGTAAGTCCCAAAGTTATTCGTCCCATCTTTTTAGTCGTAGAATATATGTGCTTTTATGTATGGCTAATTTTGTCTAAATTGGGGCTAAATTTTCCTACAATCGCCAGTGGCTGAAGGGATGGTGTAAATCCAGCTAGGGTCCAAGCAGGAAGCAAATGTACCTTAAGTCCCCATGGTCCGTAGTATGGTGATCTACCTTCAATTGTTGTCAATATATAGCCTGTTTTTACATTGTTTTGCCTTCTATGTTTTAAACTATAGTTAATAGATTTTAGGTTTTCACATTCGTTTTATATCTTTATCTGTGATATTCTAGCTGTTTTACTGTCCTTTAACAATTTAATCTATAATATTACAAATCTGCAACTTGAGATGTGACTATAAGCATAAACTCACTCACTCACCAATCCAGCTACCTTACTGTAGTACGAGGCGGGTAGGAGCATTACTCGAGTAGTAAAATGCTACTCGAGTACCCGTCCAAGAAGACTTACCTACCCTAGGCAGTTTAATAACATAAAGCGTTCAGAATTAAAAAATAACTGAAGGTCGAAAATGTATATGTAAATCAGTTGTATTTCTTCCCATCGGAAGAGCGTATTTATCCTTTTCATGCCAGATGACGTTATCTTACTTACAATACATATTATACCTCGTTCAACCATTGGTCTCATTAGGTAGCGTTTCGAGATTACGCTTTGCTGATATTTTTCATACGTCACTTGACATGAATTTCAGGTTACTGCCCTGCTAACGCACGTCGGTTCCAAATGAAATCCCGTGCTTTGGGCTCCTCACAAAGCTATAACAACGTTTCTCATAACTGGGTGTCACGATTGAGTTTTCTGTAAAACTTTTCACTTCGAGATTTTTTTTCTTCACTATTCAGCGACAGCTTCAGTAAACACACGACCAAATCAACATGCAAATTGACGAGTAACCCATGAAGTGAATTTCTGCTTGGTTTCATATGTACTGTTACTACTGGGAAAACTATTCAACTATTAACGTTAAATAGAACGTTAGACAACGTAAAATATGTCAGCATCAAATAATTTACCCCGTGGCGACGTAGAAATGATGTATGACAAGGTAAATGGGAGTCCACAGAATAACGTTGTAACAATGAAAGTATAACGTTATGACAACGTGAATGTTATTTGGGTGAAAAACTGAACTTTAATAATCAAGGTTGATAACTCTGGTAGCATGATATATGCTATTGTTTTTTCATTCATTTTCTTTTAAACAATGCATGTTTCAAAAGGCCCAAAGCAAATACACAACAAAAATAAAAATAGAATTTATAAGCTACATTGTAGAAAGTGGTACGAGCTACGAACAATCGTTTAATTTAGTCTATTATTTTAAGTCAAACCTCTAAGAAAAGTTAGGAAATATCTGAAAACATACGTAAATCCGGTCATGCCATGTATTTCCTACTGTATTTACCTTTATTTCAATGGTTTACTATCCGGCTTTTGGTCCTGTGATTGGATCCAGAACTATCTCTTCCAGATTGCCGGGCGATAGTTCTATTTTCACAGAAGAAG